ACTGTCCGGAACGGCGAGGACTCCCCTTACAACCCGATTCATAAGATGTTTCTGAGAGCGCAACGAAAAAAAAAAGTAAAATCTGAGCTACAGTTAGAAGTGAATACGATGGATTCCACATTTTGTGCGGTGAGAATAAGGCATAAAATAGGGGCTTCCCGTAAAGCTGAGTTACACGCGTAAGCAGAATTGGCGACGGAGACTGTGACCAACTGAAATGGCAGGAGATTTGACTGATAAGCGGCCACCCTTCATTGTGTAGATGAATGGGAAGATGTCACTATTACTGATGTCACCACCAATTTTTCACCACGGTCGATGTTATAAAACTAAGTAGAAGTAGTGGGCAAACAAAAGAAAAAGTACGAACTTTTATCTTCCTCCCCCCCCCCCCCCCCCCCCCCCCCCCCCCCCCCCCCCCCCCTCGGCCAGGTATTGATTTATATCCGGTTCCAGAAGATGTGGTGCCAGCTGTATGCCAGCCAGTTCCCGAATAGCTGCGAATAATGGGAGCATTTGCTCATTAAACCGGGCTAGAAGCGTCCTTAAAGAACATCCATGTAAACATCAAAACCTTCCGCAACTTGTTCTAGCGAACCTTGTAACTTGAGTAGGTCCTCCCGTGATATCTTGCGTCACTTCACCTTGACATCGCCAACATTTCAACGTTCCTGTTTGTGGGTCAAATATCCTATCAATGTCCATGTCCTAAAAATGGAGAAGATTTATTATGGTAGCTTTTTAATAGCGTGAATCACCTCGTACTGCGCACCACACTGCTCACACTTGTAGTTCGCCTTTTGCAACTCATTCTTTTCCCTCGCCTCTAACATTTGCCTGAATGTTTTGTTTTTTTCAAGGTAGGTCACAGTATAAGCTAGCAAGGCCGTAAAATTACAACCAACCTCATATGATCAATTTTATATTTAAGAACATTTATAATAGCGCGGTAGTTGATAAAGTAGAAAATGATGGAGACGTTTCTACCGGTTTCATTCTTTTGTTGCAGTAAGCGATCTTTCACCAGCTTTTCATTCTTCAACCCAGCGAGGAGCTGAAAAAATATCTTGATCATGTCAAGTCAAAAGCTTGAAGCAATACTTTGGAAAAAAAACGAATGACTACAAACCTGCCTCAACTGCTTCTGGTCGAAATTGAGTCGGCTTCTCAGGTTTTCCTCTCTAATGCACACGGCTCTCATTATGTAGTAGACAACTAGATAATGTTCCTGTAAAAAGCAACATTATCCAGTAAGCTATGATGACTCATAATTACATTGTGAGTCATCGTAGCTTGCTGGAACTCCAGGACAGTAATAGGTATATATCATTTCACTTATATGACGAGAACCTATGATTAATGCAAATAACCCCTCTACAGGATACAGCTGATACATTGTTGGATTATTTGCAAGAAACCGAGGCCGCCACACAAGCTTCGTCCTATGCAATACGATAGATTTGATTTTTGACGTATTTTCTATTTTTCTACAGAAGGGGGAGGCAAAAAGTCACTTTGCCCATGGCGCATATCATCAAACTTTTTGTCGCAAAGGATGCCGCTGTTATTGGGAGTTATACGGCGATTATTCCTTAGATGTCCCCCATAAGCAGAATCAGGCCCACCTTCGCTGCCTTCACCGTCTCCAGAATATGACGTCATCTGTCATCACCGTCGAGCTCAAGGAGGCCTACCATAATCGCTCCATTCTGAAGCTGCTACATAATTTCTTCAATCGGATAACTGGTGAATGGCTTCTTAGGACACTAGCTCTGACTATGCAAATGGCTTTTGACCAGCGTTTCAGAGACGTCGTAATCGTCTATGGTTTCTCGACGACCTCGTTGAGCTCGTACCGTGCACCATGTTTCCGTGGGAAAATCTTCTGATGTCGTCGGTGTAGAAAGCCCTTATGTGTTTTTTTCTTGATAGAGTAG